GTTGTTTACTGGTGCTGGATTAGATCCTTGTGTAGGCCAGGGGATTTCAGCATTGTTGTTTTTAGAGAAAGTGGGAAGAGATTTGGATAGAGATGGAAAAATACAGTCGTTAAAGATTACATCACATGTCTTCACAGGTTTAGAGATGCTGATGTCCCAAACGGTATATCCATTTCCGTCAGTGAGGTAAGAGAGAAGTAAAGCTCGTCGACCTTTTGGATCCAACTTTTTACGGTTGGCCTCAGGTATCTTGTAGTACACTTTGCATCCGAAAGGATGAGTTCTCAGAGGATTAATAGGAAGAACTGGGATAAGAGAACAGGGGGAAACAAAACCGGAAGGGGTATAACATGGAATGGAGTTGAAGGAGTGAGCCAGAACTCTTAACACATCAACCCAGAAAGTTTTACCTAAACCTGAACTTGATAGTGAGCATCTGATGTGGTTACAAACTGTTCCGTTTGTTCTTTCCGCTACTCCATTAAGCTCAGGAGAGTGGGGAGGTCCTGGATGATGCTCAATTCCTGCATCACTGAGATATGTGCTGAACTCATTAGATAGATATTCACCGCCATTGTCGGTCCGAATTTTCTTAATGCGAGTAGAGGTACGAAGCTCAAATTTTGCACAAAAGGCTTTAAAGCAAGAAAATGTTTGACTTTTGTATTTCATAGGATAAAAGATAGTAAATTTGGAAAAATCATCGATAAAGGTGACAAAGTACTTAAAGCCCTCCTGTGAGGAAACTTCAAAGCTACAAACATCTGAGTGAATGATTTCTCCTACTGAGGAGGCGCGATAATCATCCCTGGATTTAAAGGAGTGCCTAAACATCTTTGATTCTACACACACATTGCAGCGTTGAATGTCGATTTCATTCATGATTGTAGGGCAAATATCAAAAGATTTGAGGAAGGCCTTAAGCGGTTTCAGACCTATATGACCAAGTTTTTGATGCCAATACAATAGAGATGAATCAGTTTTACTGATAGAGGTTGTGTTTGAATGAGAAGCAACTACCTTTGAGGGAAGTTTGGGAGGGAGGTAGTAGAGATTTCCACTACAATAGCCTCTTCCAACTACAGAATGAGATACATCTGTTACACCAGCATGATAGAAAGTACATGAGTCGTTGGTGAACAGAACCGAAAAACCATCGTCACATAGTGAGGAAGCGGATAAGAGGGGTTCGTGTAGTCCAGGAACTAGGAGTGACTTGTGTTGGTGGCTCATTCCATCCATTGAAAGAGAGGTCATGCCCGAGTGAGTGGCTTTGATGGAGGACACATCTGCCAGTTGAATGGATTTGTTGGTCCGTTCTAAACCAGTAAGGTCATGTTGGTGAGGGGTCATTGTTAACGAGCAACCAGAATCAATGTTCCAGTCGGAGATTGAGGTAGAGTTTGAGGTGATAACTCTAGCAGATTGTGCGACCTCATCGGCGATGTCATAACATTCATCATCACTAAAATCAAGAGTTAAGACTGATGTCTTTCCGGCTTTGGTAGATGGACGAGCAGAGCAATTGGTAGATGGTTGCCGACCTCCTCTGCTAGATGATGAAGCACCTCGAGAAGAGGCAGAAGATGAGTGTTTTTCTTGTTCATTCTGACGCATCCAGCAGTTTTGTACTTTGTGATTTGTTCGTTCACAGTGAGTACAGAACTTAGTGTTTCGCGGCTTCTGGTTTGAATTGGTTGACGAGTTTGCGGGTCGATTCGTTGAGTTAGCACGAGCAGCTATGACTTCAGAGTTAAAAACAAGGTGGGAAGAGTTTTTTCAACAAGTCACTTCGTTCCTGATGGATTTGATGATGGTGGCTGAATCAACAGTTGTACGTTGCATGAGAGGAGTGATCACAGGTAGCCAATCAGGTGGAAGAGACGTCATAATAGAAGTTGAGAAGATTTCATCAACAGTTAGAGGAGCTTCGGTGGTGATTAAAGAGTCGAGCTGTTCGAACGTCTTATGAAGAGTATCAATATGGGCCTCCATGTCATCTCCTTCCATACAAGTTGTGATGAGTTGATGAAGGAGATGCATTTGTCCACCTGAGGTGGAGTCTTTGTGAGCAAGTTGAAGAGATGACCACATCCCAGCTGCATCACAACGGTGTGGCTTGATAAATTTCAGATTACCATCTTCAATGGCTCTCGAAATGAGTGCACATGCTTTCGTGTTGTCTTTGGTCCAGTTTGCAGGTCGTTCCTTAGGATAAATAGCAGTGAGAACATGGGAGAGTTTAACAGCATCAAGTGCTAATTCAACTTTAAACTCCCAGTCGAGGTAGTTTGAGGAAACCCCTGGAGGTTTGAGGAAGGTAATACCGGAAAAACGGATTTCGCCGTTGGAGGGATCGTTGGTGATAGACATAGTAATGAGGTAGAACGCGTTGTATCCTTCGGACCTTTCCGAGTCAAAGGATGGCAATTCACAGCCCCCAACTACTGGTCACTGGCAGGCCAGTGCATCCGATGTCTCCAAAATGTTTTCAACAAAACTTCAATTTGTTTTCAGCATAACATCCATCTGCTATCAAGATGTTTTGGGTCAGTTACCAGCAAAATATGTCATACCACCAAAATTGAGATGATGTCATACAGCATCATAACCCTGTACAAACCTGCTCCTGTATTTCCCCACCAAGAATATATAGTTTATAAACCTTTGTGATGTAAAGTGACTGAGTTATTGAGGTTTGAAAAAAAATCACGGACAAAAAATACTATTTTTGTACTATACCTAAGAATTGATTCTGGAATATCTTCCAGCTTCATCAATACACGTACACAAAAAAATTGACATTCCTCTTGAAAATATGTTTCTCCACATTTTGGTCCCCTAAAGCCTTCCTGTATGGGCAGTATTTCTATATGTAATTGTGGTGTGTACATGTGCAGTCAACAATTTGATTGATTCTTTGATTCTAGACAGAATATGGCAAAGTTTATGGCAGGAATTTTTGTCAAATACCATCTACATGTATATCAATCAAATTCAGAATGATTTTGGCAATATGTTCCCTCAAAATTTTGTCTTGGGGCAAAGAACTTCAGAAAACCAAACTTGCAGACACATTCAGGAATTACATGTAGAAATACTGCCCATACAGGAAGGCTTTAGGGGACAAAAATCGTGGAGAAACATATTTTCAAAAGAGATTATCATTTTTTTTGTATGTATATACATAAATCTGGAAGAT